CAGCAACAGCGCTAATTTCTCCACCAGCAGTATCAGTAATGGGACGTCGAAGACAGGACTGCGAAGCGACGCTCTGAGCACCACCACCACCAACCCAGCCACCAACACCGTCACCATCAGCAGCAGTAGCAGCATCACCGAGGGCAGCACCTCATTGTCGCATCTCACACCGAGCGTTTCACTAGCGAAACCTATTACGGACAGTAGCAGCGACAGTAATGCCACCCAGCCGCCACTTATTGCGAGTAAGCAGCCGGTCTGTCTTGTCTTTTGTATTTCTCGTACTTGTGTGCTCCTGTGTGTGTGTGTGTGTGTGTGTGTGTGTGTGGGGGGTGTGTGTGTGTGAGTGTGTGTGTGTGTGTGTGTGTGTGTGTGTGTGTGTGAGTGTGTGTGTGTGTGTGCGCGCGCGCGCGCGCGCGTGCACGTGTGTGTGCACATGTGTTTTTTATGTGTGCTTGTGTGTGTGTGTGTGTGCACGTATGTGTCACGTGTGTGTGTGTGTGTGTGTATGTTTCCGGAGCCCTCAAAGCTCCTGTCTTTGATAACCAGACCCTGTCGCTTCGCAGCAAGAGGCGTGTCTATGAGGCTGTCGTCCTCACGACCCTCTTGTGTGGTGCGGAGACGTGGACCACCAAGGCAGGCCACCTCCAGAAGCTAAACACGTTTCACCATCAATGTGTTCGGTCCATTGTGGGTATCGGTCGTCGTCAACAGTGGGATGATCGGATCTCAACGGCCACATTAGCAGCTACATTCGGTGTTGACCCTGATATCACCCTCATCATCCGTCACCACCGGCTTCGTTGGCTGGGTCACTCCGGCAGGATGGACGACTCACGCGCCCCGAAGCAATTGCTGTAGGGATGTCAGCGAACGCACTGCGCAGGCCTCTGCGCATGCATTGCGTCATCGATTTTTTGAACGTGATCGCGGCCGACAGAGAAAACATGGCCGCGGTCTGTTTGCACCGCTGGGAGTCGTAAAAATTACTGTTCTTCTGTCCCCGCGACCATTCAAATCATACGCGATACTCGAGGACCCACGTACTCACCACGTTCTCCCCGGTCAATTTCTCTGAAAGTTTGCACATCGTGAAACACCAGTATGAGAGGTGTTCAGGCCAATTTTCAAGGAATTTCCCTGGTTGGATCGTTCCAAAATCGGACTTGCATTTCTCGCTCGCGGCCATTTCTTGCGCGATGGAAGCGCCCTGCCCTGGTGAGTAACCAGCTTCGCGCTTGGTAGAGAGTTGCTGCAATCAGCTCCCTGATGTCTTCGCTGCCATTGTCAGAAGCGATGGACCATGAATTTGTTTGAGAGTCTCTGGATGCTACTATTCCTCAGCCTAGTTTTCAGCCATTCCGTGCATCTTCTTCGCACGATTTATTTTGCAAAAAAAATGAAAGTGTTCATGAGTTTTCTTGTCTGCCGCGCGTAGATGGGCCAGGCTGACCTGCGCAGATGGGCTGCGCAGTGCGTTCGCTGATATCCCTAATTGCTGTTCGGCGAGCTGCCTGCCCCCCGTCCTCGTCACGGCCCAAAGAAGAGGTGGCGAGATGTGGTGTCGACTGACCTGGCGGACCTCGGCGTGACCACCTGGCTTGAGAGTTGCCAAGATCGTCCCGGCTGGAGACGAGTTGCGAGTAGCACTCCACCGCCACGGCCCGCTCCTGATCCTCTTCTATGTGTCTGTGGACGCCCATTTCGTCGACCAGGAGACCTGAAACGACATGCCAAGTTCTGCGCTCGTGTTCTCACTTGAACTTTCCGACATTCGCTATCATTGCGTACGCAATGGGCAAGATCAAGGTCAAGGTCAAGGTGTGTGTGAGTGTGTGTGTGTGTGTGTGTGCGTGCGCGCGTGCACGTGTGTGTGTGCGCGCGCGCGTGCACGTGTGTGTGCACATGTGTTTGTGTATGTGTGCTTGTGTGTGTGTGTGTGTGTGTGTGTGTGTGCCTCTGTGTGTGCCTCTGTGTGTGCCTCTGTGTGTGTGTGCTTGTGTGTGTGTGGGGGGGGGGGGGGAGGGGGGGGGGGGGGGGGGGGAGGTGCGTGCATGCATGCATGTGTATGTGTGTGTGCCCGTATCCGGGCAGGTTAAGACCGGGCAGCGCCAGTAATTAGGAGTTGCCAGCAACTCAGCACACACATATACTCAATGCATGAAAGTAAACACGTTTTTACGCCTATCAGTAGAATATTGCGGCCACTCTCTATTGAAACGTCCAGGTTTGTGACTCCTGATGGGTAAGAAGGGTGCCTAGTAGACGAGAGTTGCCAGATCGAGTGACCGGCGCCCTCAGCGCGTACAGAACGTTGCATGCAGTTCACAGTCATGTTGATCCGGTGCTACCGCTTACCCACGTCCCGCGACTGCATGGCCAGCGCCCTGGGGCCGCTAGACGTGCAACCGGATTTCCATGTCCATGGCAGTACCAAGCTCCTCATGCACACCGCCCTGAACGCTACAGCGGCGGCAACTGAAACCCAACCCCAGATGGGTGCGCCCACGTTGCAAGAACTCAGCACGCGCTTGTAACACTGGCAAATAGAGACCACTAGAATCAGTTCGAAAATCCTCTTGTACGGGGCAAAGCAAATGTGCTTACATATGACACAATATCTCAATACAAAAAATTGATCAAAATGACAACTTAATGCCAAGAATCTGAAGAAAAAACTCAATCCTGTGTTGCCATAATGGGAGCTGAAACCCAACACAAATCTAAAAACATGGCAAGTACAGACAGCTGGCAGTCACGCAGCAACAAAAATCACCGAACGTAAGCACCAACAATGTGTGAGAATCAGTGCTGCACTCCAGCTCGGATATCAGGGGTCGGATTTCAGTTGTCCCACTGTTCTTTGGCTTTGTTCTCCTCAGGTTCCCGGCACATTCTCTATGACGAGCTACGTCTAATGGGCCCAAGTGTCAAGGAAGGCTGGGTGATGATGAAGGTCAACGGTTGGTGGAACGCACTCTGTAATCGCGGTTGGAATCAGTATGCTGCAGACCTAGTGTGTCATGCATTGGGATTTCAGCATGGATCGGAGTCACTGGGCTCTCATACCATGTGAGTTCTATTATAGGGATCAATTCCTCTCTCTTCTCTCTCTCTCTCTCTCTCTCTCTCTCTCTCTCTCTCTCTCTCTCTCTCTCTCTCTCTCTCTCTCTCTCTCTCTCTCTCTCTCTCTCTCTCTCTCTCTCTTTCTTTCTCTCGATTTATCTATCTATCTATCTCACCCTCGCTCTCTTTTTCTTCCTTCTCCTGGCAACAACTGCAATAAGCTGCGACCTCGGCACATGCACGATTCACTATCTTTTTGGTATTTGCGACTTCCTATGCGGTTGATATACGATCCACGTGCATAGCACAATGCACATGCACCCGGAGTGGAAAACTGTGCTCCAATTTTTTTGTTCGTCGCACGTCGCGAAAGTCGAACTTTGGCCAACTTCTGCAACAGTAGCCTTGCGACTGCTGGCGACAGTACACGACACGGCATGTACTTGTCGTAAGTGTCTAATGTCGCATGGCGCGTTGAAAGTGATGTTAGCTTTGGTCTACTTTCACACAAGATGACGTAAATGTGGAGTTCCTCTTCGACGCTACCAAGAGTACATGAAAACCAGAGTGTGCAGCTTGGGGCATTTTCTACTATGGGTGTCTGTCACGGCGGAATTCCGTGATTACACCATATTTGGCGCAGATTTGAGGCGGGAAGTGGTGTAGTGCGTACAACTGAGCTGCAGTTGTGCAGAAAGAGACCTGTTTGATTCCTGCTTGTACGCACTACATCACTAAAATGATGTAATCACGGAATTCCGCCATGACAGCAACCCATCCGAGCTGCACACTCTTTTTTCATGCACTCTTGACGCTACCCATTCCAGCTGTCCAATGGGATGACCTATGTATACTGCAAAGTACCGTTGATCAGCCCCCCTCTCTAATTTCCGCCCCCTGTCGAATTTCTGTCTGCTTGAAACGACGTCGGCGTATACAACGAAGTACGATGTTGAACCGACGCATGTACTGCTGTACACAATGCGCGCGAGTGCAGGACGAAAGTGTGCACAATCCAGCATGCCAGGCCTGATCTTCTGCTTTGTTGTACATCGTACCGCACTTGAACGACTTGATCTAATCGCCGCCCCTGCTGAAACCCCAGCCGGGAAGCGACACAGAGTGTGCGTGTGTGTGTGGGGGGGGGGGGGGGAGGATCTACGGTACTTTATGGTCATCTTCCCGCCACTTGGTGTTCCTTTACTACAGAGCGTTTCAAAAGACCTCTTTTGCGCAACCTAAGAATCAACCGATTTTCGCAGCCTTTTCGTGGCTGCCTGATCCGTCGAACACTAGGGAACTTCGTTATGCGTAACCCCTCTATTGGCAGACGGGCAAGGATGTGGGCAAGTACAGGACATCAATCAATGCACCGGTGCGGTATTGAGCCCAGTTGAAACATGAAATCCAGCTGGGAAGGCTGGGCAAGTAGTAGTAAAAAGTTGAGAGGCAGTAGTCTAGGCGGGTACCTTCGGACATACTGTGGTTACAACCCAGTGGCAAATCAGACACCAATAATCCCTGAATGCGGAGCCTGGCTTCCTCTGGCTATTACACATTTAAAACCACACCCACCAGAATGCACAAAACCAGTATGAAGTGGGAAGTGGTGCGCATTCCGCGCACAGAAACCCCGGAGTCGTAGCCGTGATTTGCCTTGAAAATTCTGAATCCTTTGATCGTGTGTGTGCGTGTGTGTGCGTGTCTGTGTGTGTGTGCGCGTGTGTGCATGCATGCATGCGTATGTATATCACTGTGCGTATGTGCATGCATGCGTGCGTCCGTCTGTCCACGTGTCTACATGTCTGTGCACGTTGGATGTGTACGTGCCCACTCTCCACAGGGACTCTGACCTTATAAGGTACTCACCAGAATATCACGGCATAATCTGCCCGAGCACTGCACGCCAGCTCACTGACTGCCTGGAGCCGGCAGGCAGCTCCGACTACTGCACCGCGCCAAAGAATCACAACAAAGCAAGCGTCTGCTGCAACGTCACCGGCTCAAATTCACGTAAGCTGTTTGTTTTTTTATTTAGCTTTATTTTACTTCACCATAGGCAGAGGCAAAACCTGTCTTCTCACTGGGCGAATTGCCACAGTTCTCACAAAATGATGAAGATAGGGTCGTCGGCGAACTAACGATGTCTTTTCAGATACAAGCATTTTGTAATTTGTAGCGAGGGGGTTCAAGTGCTCTTTGCTTCAAGAGTGATTCAAAACACAGTGAAACCTGTCTTTGCAGACCGCTCAAGGGACCTTGAAGAATGTGGTCGTCGTGTACTGGTGGCATTCTACTGGAAATAGTATCCCTTGATCCTTACAGCTCTGGGGGTTTGCAAATGTTGAGGTTCGTTTCATAGGTTTCAAAAAATCACCACCCCATTGTTGAATACCGCATTTTCCGCACTTTAAAAAAAGTGAAACACCAGTAATTCACCCAAATTTAACTCGGATACTGAGCCAATAAATATAATAGGCGAAGGACTAAATGGACCGTCACTTAATTTTTGCCGACTACCCGCCAAAAAAATCTTTTCGTTTCACGTGTCAGACACGTCCGTGAGCGCGTACGACTCGCGCTACCTTTCACGTCAAGCAATCTGTTCACGCCACATGCCATGGCTGGATAGCTCGTACATGCAAACATGATTGAAGACTTGCAAAATTGATTTTTACAAGTCCAGGTGCTAGGCCTAGGCCTATAGTATAGGCAGTGCTAATGGCTACTTTGTAATGGCAGCTGACTTTATTTTCGGAGAAACACTACTCATTGTAGTAAAAAGTTACAATGAATAGCGATATCATCTAGGAAGGATCGCTACCCTAACGCGAAGGAAAGGCCTTGCGCGGCTGCTCTACGAAGTGTTGAAGAAAGACTCAAAGTTAGTTGGTGGACGAACAACTCGCTGGTGTCGGAAAACTTGGCCCCCAACGATGGTGTTTGGTGAATCATCAAGCATAATGTCTTGTACTAGTGTTCACCGAGGAAGGAGAACGCTCTAGCCGCTGCTGTTGTCAGTTTCATCCACGTTGGGCGTTAGCTGCAATTTACTTCACACAGCGTTGTATTGTCCGCGAGCGCAAACTTCATTATCAGCAGTAACTGTTACTCTTCATCCTACATGTAGATTTGGAGTATACACGGCCTTGTCACGACAGCGACAGCTCTACAGAGTGTTCAAGTGAGAAACATTAATTTCAATTGTTAGTGGACGAATAAATGGCTGGTTCCGAAAAACGCGGCCTGCACCGATGGTGTTTTGTGGATCATCAAACAGGGTGACCAGCAGTGTTCACCGAGGAAGGAGAATGCACTCACCACCACTGTCGTCCGATTCATCGAAGTGGGCGTTAGCTGCGCTGCGCCTATTGTGTTTTAGTATTCCATGGACGCACACTAGCGTTCTCAGCGATTGTGGAGCCACAACATATCTTCATGCGGCGTTGCACTGTCCAAGAGCAGGAACGTCAGCAGTGACCCATCATCATACATGTAGATTTGGAGTATACACACCATGCGCCAATGGGCCTTGGCACAACAGCGGCAGCTCTACGGCTTACATGTACTCCAGTTATTACACCGTGCATGCACTGAGTCTGTGCAGTACTGTGCATCCATAGGTGTCTGTTTGCGGTAGCGCAAGGTGACACGCAAGGTTGATATATTGTGTTGTCCGCTGCTATTCGAAGCTCTCGGAGTCGGAAGCGTTACCTCTGTTTCCCCTGTTCCTCCCTGCGCGGAGTCTGTAGTTCTGGCTTGCAGTCGCTGTTACATGCATGTTGGCAGTTGGATGTGTTTTGGTTTTCAGTTGTCTTTATTCTAGCAGTTGTTGCACTTCCTACATTCCGTAGTTATCTGCGGTTGGTGTTCGAGAGAGCAAACTGTGTTCTTCTCCAGAGTGGAGTAAACCATTCGCTTGTGTCTGAGGAAAACCCTGTGTGTTGACGAAGTGGGTTGACTTGGCTGTAGAGTGAAAGTACCACATGGTCACATGGTCCACAAAATCTTAGAACTAACTTAGGGTCTTCTGGCGTATGGCATATGTGAGCAGCATGAGAGTGAAGTAAAAGACTATTAGCTCAAACATTCAGTCTTTCAAGAGTAGGTGTTTCATCACGGAATAGGTTCTGCAGTCCACTTACACACTGCAACAATGGACCAGCAGTGTCCAGCATACAATAGTCATGTGAATATGTACCGTATGCATACTCACAGCTGCAAGGCCAGCGCCCCGTGGCTGCTTGACTTCTCAATCGATATAAATATTCACAACAGTAAGACTCTGTGATCAATCAGAGCTGTGCTTCGAAGTAGTCACAAATGCCCCATGATCAGTCACAGAACTAAACTTGGCAACCAGTCACAGCTTCCACGGTGCCCCAAGACCAGTCACCAGAGATGACCGTAGTAAATCTGCAGGGAGTTTCATAATCTGTTCATTGCAGAGTCCACTATCCTATAATTCAAGAGGGGGGTAGCGTTCCTGCGGATGCGGAAAACTTGGCTGGAACCCGAGTGTCACGTGAACCCTGATTTTTAAGACTTTTATTATTTGTTTTACGATGAGCCTATTATATGCGATACAGGCTCAAAACACACTTTTCGTCTAGTTGGCATATCAGGGATATAGGGCGGAGCAGCTAATATCGGCCCAATTATGACACGCGAGTAATAGTGAAATACGATTGGCGTATTGTGCTGGAGTGACTGCGGTGATGTAAAGCTAAAATCAAGCAGTCAGTTTGCCCTTAGCATGGCCTTGTCATGACCTTGCGAGGAGAGTCATTGGGCCCGACGGGTAGGTAAAGCCAACTTCCACATGAAGTTTGCGGATGGCCGACATGTAGACATGGACAGAGCGGGGCTGAAAAGTTCTAAACAACTCGGCAGCAAAATAACACAAAAAGTAAAAAAGTCATCACCTGGCAATGGATTCCAGGCATGCCCTTGACAGAACTGGAAGTAACGGGTATCGGCGGAAAAATATTTCCGGCTGGTGCCAGTGCTGCTAGCTGCAGCACGGAGTCCGTCAACTGAGAGTTGGCAAGACTGGCTGATCTGGCTCAGCTGCTGCTTCCGGAGCCCTCGATGGTTCAAACACCATCGGCGCAGGCCACGTTTTTTGGCACCGACGATTTGTTCGTCCACCAAAAGTCGAAACAAATGTTTCTCACTTGAACACTCCGTAGAGCTGCCGCTGTTGTGCCAAGGCCCATTGGCGCATGGTGTGTATACTCCAAATCTACATGTATGATGATGGGTCACTGCTGACGTTCCTGCTCTTGGACAGTGCAACGCCGCATGAAGATATGCTGTGGCTCCACAATCGCTGAGAACGCTAGTGTGCGTCCATGGAATACTAAAACACAATAGGCGCAGCGCAGCTAACGCCCACTTCGATGAATCGGACGACAGTGGTGGTGAGTGCATTCTCCTTCCTCGGTGAACACTGCTGGTCACCCTGTTTGATGATCCACAAAACACCATCGGTGCAGGCCGCGTTTTTCGGAACCAGCCATTTATTCGTCCACCAACAATTGAAATTAATATTTTTCACTTGAACACTCTGTAGAGCTGTCGTGACAAGGCCGTGTATACTCCAAATCTACACGTAGGATGAAGAGTAACAGTTACTGCTGATAATGAAGTTTGCGCTCGTGGACAATACAACGCTGTGTGAAGTAAATTGTGGCTCCACAATCGCTCTGAATGGTAATGTGTGTCCATGGAATACTAAAACACAATAGGCACGGTGCAGCTAACGCCCAACGTGGATGAAACGGACAACAGCACCGGCTAGAGCGTTCTCCTTCCTCGGTGAACACTGCTACAAGACAATGCTTGGTGATTCACCAAACACCATCGTTGGGGGCCAAGTTTTCCGACACCAGCGAGTTGTTCGTCCACCAACTAACTTTGAGTCTTTCTTCAACACTTCGTAGAGCAGCCGCGCAAGGCCTTTCCTTCGCGTTAGGGTAGCGATCCTTCCTAGATGATATCGCTATTCATTGTTACTTTTTACTATACAATGAGTAGTGTTTCTCCGAAAATAAAGTCAGCTGCCATTACAAAGTAGCCATTAGTACTGCCTAGGCCTAGCGCCTGGACTTGTAAAAATTATTTTGCAAGTCTTCAATCATGTTTGCATGTACGCGCTATCCAGCCATGGCGCATGGCATGTGGCGTGAACGTTGCTTGACGTGAAAGGTAGCGCGAGTCGTGAGTCGAGTCGTACGCGCTCGCTGAGTCGCGGACGTGTCTGACACGTGAAACGAAAAGATTTTTTTGGCGGGTAATCGGCAAAAATTAAGTGATGGTCCCTTTAGTCCTTCGCATATAATAGACCCTTTGCGCAATAAGCGAGAGGGGTCGAGCCGGGGCATGCTGAGCACGCGCTGCACACTTGGCATGCAACCAGCATGCATGGTTTGCTGCAGGACGTGATCAAGTTTCCTGTGACAGGCTGTGTTTTCACGGTCCCGACGCGATGTTCATGTATGTACTCCCCAGCCTTTTTTTCATTTTGAAGTTTTTTAGTTCTGAAGGAAGAAGTTCCGAAATGCTTTCCAAGGACCACTGTTGGGTTCTTGTTTGCACCAACCGTCATCCCTAACGTTAGTCTAAGGAACCCACTTGTCTTTCCATGCGTTCCCTGGTGGTGCTGCCATTCCACACTCTGGAATCCTGGCTATCTGGCGAGAAGAGGGCTGCAGTGCTGCGATATCGTTTACAGTGTTGTGCTCGGAACACTTTGTCCATGACGACTTTCATCCTTGCTTTTGTGAAGATATGGAACGCCCTGCCAAGAGACTCTGGAGCTTGAGAAAAAGGCATGACCCATCCCTGTCTTCGCTATTGGAATATCGACTGCTTGCTGGCGCTGCTCGAGCTGCTGTTGTTGAAGTGGAGAGAGACGCAGCCTCATCACTCAGGTGTGCGGAGAAAGTCATCTGAGTTCGAGCTGTGGCTCTGTGCACGATATGACAGGCTTTCACATTATGCATGTGACATAGCCACCAAAGTAAAACTAATGGACACTATCCACGGGCTTGTTCACTAGTACTACTCCATCAGCTCCCTCTTCACTGTCGTCGGCGGCTTGCCCCTGCGTTGGAGATGAGCAAGCATGGTGTGGCACTCACTCTGGGAAACAGAGGTTCATCACTCATCCACTGGGACGCATGACATGTTGGGCATGATGAATGTACACTCGAGGAAGTGGTGCCCTTCTTAGGTCTAGGAGCATCAGGGTTCTGCATAGAGAAGTGTTCTCTACATCGACAGAGGGGAGAAGGTAGAGAAAATAAAAATAAATTTCAATCTACAGTAATCCGAAATATCCACCGATCCAACAACGCCTTCTTTTTCCAGACAGATACGCGCCCTCATTCAGCAGAAAACTGTTCAGTTCCTTACACAACCGATCTTCATTTGACAGTTCGTCCACGGGCTCCACAGCCATCGATGGCATACCACTCGACACTCTCTCCTCAATCTCCAAAATGGAAAAATTCAGTGTTCCACCATGCTCAACAACTGATACTCAGCACAAAAATCGAAGAGGATGCCCCGTCTCGGGTCACGTGACCGTTATTGTGCAAAGGGTCTATTAAAATAGAAGTCAGCAACATGCCAGCAACATGTCAGTTTTGTGCCCTGTTATCGCACTTTCTGACTACTTATTATCTTGTTACAGTCGTGGATAGTTGCTTCACAACTCGTTTCCATGTGATTTCTTCTATTTTAATTCACCCAAAGTCAGTCTTGCACTACGATGGCCAAATCAACGGTGGTATTAAATAGGGCAGATATCTATATTTCATGACAAAGAAATCTGGGTGCAGCGTATACTCTGAAAGTACGGTTGCTGTAGTGGAATAATGACATTGTGAACATTTGCGTGCTCTTGTGTGTTTGTGTTTGCATGTGTGTTTGTGCGTGCATGTGTGTGTGTGTGTGTGTGTGTGCATGTGTGTGTGTGTGTGCATGTGGGTGTGTTTGTGCATGTGTGTGTGTGTGTGTGTGTGTGTGTGTGTGTGTGCGCGTGCGTGTGTGTGTGAATGTGGGTGTGTGTTCGCACATGCCTGTATGTGTGCGCGTGCGGGTGTGTGTTCACACGTGTACACGTGCAGTACGCTTATCCCATCACAGGCATGGCATCCCATCGATCTCGAATCCGCCTCTCTACTTCTGCCTGCAAGCGTTCAATGAGTTCCACGCCAGCTTGCTGTGTAGAGAGCTAGGGCTGACTGGGGGCAGACTCACCGAGAAAGGATTCTCACCATCTCTCCTCACCTCGCCAATGTATGTATAACCCATTGCTCCGTTTTCTAAAAGCGTCTTGCCATGCCAAATGGAACGTTCTGGTGCAAACTGCCGACCTCACCCCACGCAAGTGTGCCATTGTGAACCCTCTAGTATTTACATGTTGAATGGCATGAAAAAACACAAAAATCGACAAATGAGTAGCCCCCTTTGGCTAGAACCCTGCCGTACTTGTCAATCCTGATGAGGACCAAGGACTTACGTACTGGTTGATTTTCTGTTTCTCTCCCAAATTCAGTCCGTAGACAGTGGTTCACGGGTGCATAGTGGTTCACGGGTGCATCACCTCATGTGTTAGCACAGTACACGCTCCCTGCTGTTAGCGTAGGTCTCACACTCGGACCTCATGATTCGCAGGCATGCCCACAATCAGTCACCAAAGTGCTGGTGGCATATTCCTGTACACACGCCTCCCTGCAATTGAAACAGTGTTTTGGTGATTGACTTACGATTGCGCTCGGTGAAATCCAACCGAGAGTGCATACCTAACGCCCTCAACTTGCACGGCTCTTGACGACCTGGAAGTTGCACAAATGCGGCTGTACGTACACATACACACATACAATGACGTACTTCGACTGAATTAATGGAAACTGGTCCAGGGCCGCAGGGCGCCATCTTTGCACTTTTGGTCGCATTTCACCGAGCACAACTGTACTTGATGAATTTGCTGCAATGTGGCTTAGGGGTCGGCCATAAATATCGAAAGTTTTTTTCATAAAACAAAATAATTTCGTTATGGGGTGGGAGGGGGTTAAGCAATTTCGTTTCAGAAAACATTGATATAATGTGCATGGCGGCCGTAGGAGCAGTGGCACACTTGCGGCTTTTGTTGTATAATTATGCATGTATGTGTCAACGTTTTTTTACGTTCTGAGGGGCAGGGAGGGAGGTGTTGGGTCTAAACTAAAATAATTCGTTTGGTGAAAAAAAAAGATATTTACGGACGACCCCTTACGCCTGATTCATACTTCGTTTCGCGTACGGGAAACGCGTCGCATCGCGAAAAAGTTGATCTGAGCTCAACTATTCCGCGTACGGGAAAGCCATCGCGCGACGGTCGCGCGGTGACTTTCCCGTACGCGACGTGAAGTATGAATCGGGCTTTACGCACCGCTGTTACCAACTTGACTGGTAGTGGTAGTGCTGCATCATAGATTTCATTGTCCGTGTTGTCCCCGTGTTGTCCCCGCGTGTTGTCCCCCGTGTGTTCTGCTGCCCGTGCACACAGTCAGACGCACGCCATTGGGATTGTGTCATGCCCGAACACGGCGCGAGTGCTGAACGAGTGCATGACGGCCACCCTGGACACGACCCAGTGCGCCTACTTTCCCAACATTGTCTGCAATGAGGAGAGTACGGCAAAGCCGATTGGTGAGTGGGACTTTTAGCATAAGCATGTCACTGGTATTCATATATTATGTTCTCTTTTTTTTAAAGAAGAGGCTGGTGCGACTTTGGCAATACGAGGGGAATTGTACGTTGTTTCTCCCTGCATGCAAGTTCGCGCTATTCCTGCCGACTTGAATTCTCACTTGACTGACTCGCGACTGCCATCCAGAGCACACGAGAAGTCCATCGAACCGTCCACTCGGTAAACCTGCAAGAAAGCACCACTCCCTCACCACTCTCTCTCTCTCTATCTTTATTGTACTGTACCATGTCATTGGTTGTTGCTATAGTATCTGCTTTAACGGGCACCTCTTACCCCACCACCTGCTGAGGCGCAGAATCTTGTTGTGTATTTAATCTTGAGGATGCGGCACACCGTTGGACTGTTCACATGGCTCTTCACTAGCATAGGCCATACGTTGAATGCCGTTGTTTGTCCAGTCGACCTACCCTTATAACGATAACCTCTATAACGATATTCCCCTTATACCAATATTCTTCTGCCAAACCAAATCACTCCATTGACTTGTGTATACAATGCCTTACCTCTATAACAATATTTGCTATAACGATATTACCCCTATAACGATATAAAATGGGCTGACCAATCGACATTTTCCATTTTATAACAATATCTAGCAGGGAATATGTAGAGCCCACTATCCAGGTAGGGCAAGCTTCACTTGATAAGTCGCTGGGACACGACGAAATGCAATGGGGGCACCAGTGGTCACCTTGCTGTGTACATAATGTGCATGTACGACAGTTTTTATGCTATGAATAGTGTAGTCTTCACACCCATGGACCCAGCTACATTGCATGCTTTGCATTCTATTCTCCATGTCACTAACACTTATTCACACTTACAGACACAGCTCTCCACTTGGCTCCTTCCCTTTCTACCAACACACTTCACCATTGCTGCTGGTAACCACACTTCTCGTGCTTTCCCTTCACATCGCACTAACACATATTCACACTTAAAGACACAGCTCTCCACTGGTCTCTTTCGCTCCTTCCCATTCTACCAACACCCTTCACCATTGCTGCTACCCTCCACACATACACAGATTTCCAGCACTACCGCACCACACAGCATATATACTCGTTTCAGTTTTTGTTGGCTTTAGTTGAATGTTTTTTTTTCACCCTGAAGAGGGGCCATGCCCGAAAATTTGTTGCATTCCATTTATATCTAATATTATTTGTTTTTTTTGGAAGTGAAGTGAACGTATGCAGCGAAGAGACCGTAGTTGGAGAGTTTGAAGTGAGGTACCCTATAAAGAGTGTAAAAAATGAACAAAATCCATGTATTATGACGTATGTGTATGAAATGAACCAGTTACCCCCATAACAATATTACCCTTATAGCAATATTTCTTGGTCTGACACAAATATCGTTACATGGGTAGGTCGACTGTATTGTATTTTATTATTTTACTCGGGCGTTCCCCGCAGACCCTAAAGTCTTCTTACAGGGTGCCCAAGATGAATGAATTTGTTAAGTTCCTGGCGAAATGAATTGGGGATATGATTTGTGCGAATGGATCCGGGAAGCGCGTTAAAGCGGTCAGTGCCGAGGAATAAAATAGATTTGTATCCAGCTTGAGTTTGCACAATGGGTAAAGAAAGGGAGCCCGTTTGGGCGAGGTCAGAGTGGAGCTCAGTTGCCTGTTGCGGATTCTGAATTTCTGAGCAGTTTTGAGAGAACTTTCGACGGTGCTATTCCAAATATTACCCCATCACCAGTCGAAGTGCAGACCCTGGGCGTTTATGAAATCTTGAGGATGTGGCACGCCGTCAGGCTGTTCACATGGTCCTTTGCTAGTTTAGCATAGGTCCTACGTTGAATGCTGATCTTGGTAATGTCAGAGTGGAGCTCGGTTGCCAGTTTCGTTCTATGTCAGGGACTTTGTGCTTTCTGAATTTCTGAGCAATTTCGAAGGCAAAAATTGTGAAATCCCAAGAGACGATTTTCAGTGCTTTGCGTTCCGAAAGTTGGGTTCGACTTTTTCTTACAAGGCCTTCCATGCGACATAGACTCCAGATTAGGCGAGGCCAGAACTGCGGCTGTCTCTTCAAATCTCACAGAGCCTGTAACAAAAGGCTTTAGTACCAGATAAACCCGGTGTTTGGACGTTGAATGGAGCTGTCTCATTGATATCGGATTCTTGTGTCCAACCTACATTTTCTTCTGCTGATCAATAAATCTACAATACTCTTCAATATGTCTCCAGATTCCACGCACAACTTGACAGTATTCCTGCCACCTGTTTATAAAATAAATTCACGGTTCGCGTGAGACTCGGCTGGAAGCCAAGTTTTTCGCATCCGCCGTGGGAACGCCACCACCCTCTAGGATCAAAGGATTACCTGTTTATGCATAGTTCTAATCTTCTAATTCCGTTCTCCGGCTCTTCTTTGCTCTCAAGGCACAATGGGATTACTAAACAGCGATGCTGCAGCTCCAAACACCGAAATGAGCTATGGCCGCCTGCTCCTGACCATTGAGGGCATCAGCGGTACTGTGTGTGCGCCGTCCGCGAACTACTCCTGGTCAATGGCGAGTGCCAACATTGCTTGCGTACAGCTGGGTTACAAGGACGGTGCACACACCTGGACACGGGCGAGAGATGATCCCAGGTACGATACACGGGAATGACAACACAGTTTGTTGTTGTTGGTGGTGGTGGTGCTGCTGCTGCTGCTGCTGCTTCTGCTGTTGTTGTTGTTGTTGTTGTTGTTGTTGTTGTTGTTGTTGTTGTTGTTGTTGTTGTTGTTGTTGTTGTTGTTGCTGCTGTTGTTGTTGTTGCTGTTGTTGTTGTTGTTTCCAATCTTTATTCTCACGATAGCCAGTGGCCAATAAGAGATAATAGTGTAAGAAAGGAGAAAGAGTGAGGTTGTTGTTGTTGTTTGTTTGTTTGTTTGTTTAGAGTCGAAGAACAAACAGGCAAATTTGCCTAAGTGTGCTAGCATGTGTCTGGAGTATGTGTTGTGGGGGGTTTCCGGGAAAACAATTGGCATGACATCTGACCTGCAGCACGTGGCTTGAAGCTGTGTTTTAGAGCAGACACAGGCACACAATATGAGGTGTATTTTTTCAGCTGCAGGTGGTCTTGTCCACTTCAAAGGTTGGGCATTCTTGATCTCCATGTTCCTGAAACCCCAAGTGACTCAGGGTCCATTCTCTCGTTGTCCTTTCCACTGCATTACTCTACATAGATTTCCATCAGATGACCTGAAGGTCTATCGCACGTACCAGAATATCCTGTGCGAAGGTACGGAGCGCAGCCTGTTCCGATGCCACTTCCAGCCGTTTGCCAGCGACGTGGACTGCGACCATGGCGATGACGTCATACTGCACTGTCGCATACGGCCATCACAGCCAGGTCAGTGCTGCGTATTGAGTCTGATTATAGAGTGGTTTCACATCCTGGTCATGTGACTCAATTTGTGCATGAAGTGATCATGGCATGTGGACAGTGGAACCAACATGGCCGACATCATGTGACCCATAGATGCAGGGATGTCATGTATGGTCATGTGACCCATAGATGCAGGGTTTTGTTGGTTATTTTGCGAGCCCGAATCCCGCGGGGGGACTCGAACTCTTTTTGTCACTTTGAGATACACATGCTTGTACCAGCCAGCCAGCAAGACAACAACAAACAACTGGTTGAGTGGAGTTGGAACCAACATGGCTGTCCCCTGTATGGTCATGTGATAGATGTGAAACCACTCTAGTGATCTCTGTTGTGTGTTTGTGTACTCGACTCAGCGGAAGAGTCTTGCCTATATCGTCATACCGCAACGTCACCATGTTCAGATGATCCTGTGGTTTCTTTTGTTGTTGGAAAAATCGGCTCCACCTGTTTGAGAGGGGTGAACATGATGTCACGCTATCTTTTTCTATCATAGAACTGCAGTTGGAGTCACTTTAATACAGAATGGCCGGAAGCAGTTTTTGATTGGTCCGGTAGTATTGCGGCCTTTCATACAGTTTGTGTATGATATGCTGGGTACACATGCCCTCCACAGTACTACAGTCCATTCATTGGAAACTGGCACCCTAACTTTTTGGTGTCTCTCTCACATAGTTGTAGATATCGTGAAAACAACAGTACATCCTGCATTGTGTGACCCGTGCAATTACTCCTTGCCACATTTGAGGCCAGAAAAGTCCAAGAACAGAGAAATAGAAATTCAGCCAGGTTTTACAAAATTAGGGCAGGTATGCCACGGCAAAATGTATGGAGAAGCAGATCCCAAACCCAGATTTTTGAGAGTTAAAGTGGGTTTTTGATCCTCAATTCGGCCCAAATCCGACTTTCGAAAGCCAGCGGGCCAGTTTCCGATGAATGGACTGTAAACACGTGTTGGTGGCCAAAATGTTGGTCCGGTGATAACCTGACCAAACAGACCGGTTCCGACGAGCCTAACATAGTACTGTAAAGCGTGAAATTTTTGCGGCGTTTTTAGTTCGCGTTTTCAGAATCCGGACAAAACTTATCGATTGCTTATCGATTATTATCGATTTTAAAAACCATTTTGCATCAACTACAATCAATTTTGAAACTTCAAAGAGAACAAAAATATTGGAAACATCGACCGTCGCACAGGCACAAACTGATTCTGAAGGCTACTTGTCCAGAACAGTGAGTTCCGTGAAGCAACTGGAACGAAAGTTCGCGGGTACGAATCAGTGCGCGGTGCAGAGAAAAGAGCCGCGTGTCACACAATAGATCTAGAGTACTCTAGATCTATTGTGTGACACGCGGCTCTTTTCTCTGCACGTGCATCGACTCGTACTCTGGTACATGTGCTGCACGCAGTGGAGTCATGTAGACACACTGCACCTGCCGGATATTTCGTCGTACCATATAGTATGTCGTACGAAAATGCTGTAGCGAATAGAAAAATCGTAATCGACTAGATTTTTTCGACTAATTAATCGACTAAACCACATAATCCTTTCACCCCTAGCGTTATGTAACGCTATTGCTCTCCCCACTCCTCTGCAGGTGATCCTGGAACCGGGTCATCGGAACGTCCGACAAACTCTTCCTCATTGCTGCCAGCGTTCTATCAAGTAGCTCTGCCTATCGTTATCAGCTCAGTGGTACTGGTTGCTTGTGCCACCGTGATGGTACTGCATTCGCGGAGGAAAACTGAAGTTGTCAGCAGCCTGGGTGACAGCAGCTTGACTGATCGCAGCAGATCAGGAATCAGGTATGATGCTAATGCTGCTGCAGCTGTTGTTGTTGTTGTTGTTGTTGTTGTTGTTGTTGTTGTTGTTGTATTCCGGAAAATACGATATTAACCTTACTTGGTTCTTGTTTTTGTTTGTGTGCGTGCGTGTCCTCAGCTCCAGCAGCAGTCCGGCCAGCCACATTGAACTCAGTGCAGACGAGGCCCTGGCCCCACCTAAGCACCGCGGCTCTTGGGTGAGGAGTATGGTGGGCCACCTGAACAGCATCGGCTCCAGCTCCAACTCGTCCACCGGCGGCACCACATCGCCGGTTCAAGGTCCCGTCTACGCCATGGTCACGCACGGCAGCAAGAAGCCCGGGCACAGCGGCAACCGGCCGAGCGAGTCGCGCACCGAGCAGACGTCGCTGTCGCCGAGCTCCACGTGCGCCACCGTGTACTCCATTGACATGCTACAGCATCCGGCCCTGCACTCGGCCGTGTGCGGTGCTCTGGTGCCCGACCTTGCCACGCTGGCCTGCATCGAGGACGTGACGGACGATGCCACCACTGCCGCCACAGCAGCCGCACACCAGCAGCAGCAGCAGCAGCACAGGCAGCACTCGGCGCGCGCCAGGACCAACAGCCGCTGCGCAGTGCGCGAGCGCTGCGCGTCACTGCCGTCTCACTTCCACCGTCCGTCCACTCCGCACCCGCGCAAGGACAGGACGAGAACTGACTTCGAGTGGCCCAGTCCAGGCGCTGATGCCACCGCGGATGGGAGAGATGGTCGTCCAAAGCGCGCCGTTAGAAATAGCAGCGGTGGCTCTGGCGGCGGTATGTTTGCTACTGTTGCTGCTGTCGGCACTGCTTCGAGTGGCGTTGGTGCCGCTAGCGTTGGCACGACTACTGCCAATGGTGGTGTTGGTGGTGGTAGTGGTGGCGTTGCTGTAACCACCAGTAGTCGCAGGAGCACCGGTTACGCCGTCTGCAGCAGGAACGGGAGTACCAGCGCTGCTGCCACCACCGCCAACGGAGGTGCGTGTGCGGGCAGCGGCAGTTTTTCCAATCCAGCCACCGGTAACGGTGGTGGTGGTGGGGGTATGAATAGTGGCTCGGCGGCTGACTCTCCCAATCCGCACTTCTCACAGCTGATCCGGACGTACAGTCAGTCAGCGGAGAACCGTTCCATACACAGCGAGACCATCGTGTACCGACGTGCGGTGTCGCCCAAGCTGCCTCGTAGACCTCTGAGCTGCCGAGCGTATCCTCACCAATACCAGCCACATCAGCAATCACACCACCACAACCAGCATCAGCAGCAGCTTAACTTCCCCGTTCACATGCACGGAAGCAGCTCTGCTATCGACGTGGGCGGTGCAGGCTGCCGGCCTTGGTCGTCCATCGGGTCAATAGTATCTGCCGGGACCCAGTCACGAGACGGCTACCGGGTTAAGTCGCAGTCATCGCAGCCGCCGGAAGCGTTCAACGGCGAGGAAGACGGCACGGGACCGCCTGCCTATCAGGAGCGCGTCTCGCAGTTTGCCAGTGCCCGCGATATGACCCTGATGTCATTCAGCACCCTGCCGTGCGACGACAACCAGGACGTGTATTACTCGCCGGTGGTGTCGGAGAACGAGATTGACCCGCGCTTCCAGCAGCGCGAGACGTCCACGGACAGCTCCATTGGCATGCACGCCAACGTGTTCTTCGGCCCCGCGTCCTCGGCGAGCTCCTCCACGCACAACATCGCGCCCGGCTCCGTGCCGCGCGTGGAGAGCAACCCGCTGCTGAGCACCTTCCTGCAGAAGCACGTCTACGAGAATCGCATGTACGTGAACACGGTGGGCAGCGCCGCGGGAAGCATGTGCGGCGTGGCATCCATCGCCAGCAGCAACGACCTTGACATTGGTCAGCGTGTTTCGCCGCCGGCGCCGATGGGCAACGACATGGTGCGGATGAGCACGATGACCGACATGGTGGATATACCGGCGCTCGTCTTGCCCACAAACGAGTACCTGCAGTCGAGTTACGACGACGGCGGCGTCACCCCGCCCGTCTACTCACCCGAGCCCGTGACCAGTGGGGGTGCCAGTGCCGCTGCTGCTGCTGCCAACGACAGCGTGGCGATGGGTCTGCAGCGGTGCTTCCAGAGCCCGCGCTCCGTCCTGTCCACCGCCACCTACATGCTGCATAATAGCCCACGGCCTGGCGAGTCGTCGTCCTCCAGCGAGGGTGGAGTGAGCTTGGATGGCGAGGTGTGCATTCCGCCGAGCTACTCGCATGCCCGCGGCCTTGGCCACACAGGCTCGCCGCGCCTTTCCCAGCCGAGATCGGAAGCCAGGTCCAGCAATAATGCGACCGAGGAGCGTCGCAGCAGTGCACATGCACCTCGCTTCCCGGTGCTTCTGACGTGCCCCCACACCGAGGGTCTGGAAACGACGCAGGAAATACAGCCGACGGCATCGTTTCACAGCGGTCGGCTGCCGTTCTGGCCGGACATGGAGAGCGAGATTTAGCGCAAGGAGCTCCAGAGAATTGCTACCTGTCCGACATGCAATGGCGCCCTTCGATGCCAACACACACCCATCGTCGCATACCCGATGGAAAATGCACCGATCACCAAGCTGGAGCACCCATCACCACCCATACTTTAGACCACAGCGGAAAGCCAGCATGCTCACCCCAACTGAGACATCTTTCCGGCACACCATGTTTGAAATCCTCCTGGGGAGCGAGCTACGCACTTCTCCGGTGCTCTTGATGTCTGGATGGCTTCCATCATTCGACCAATGGTCACATCGACACGTTTAGCTGCTGGGCCAATCCCACAGATGCAACACACCATATGCCTGAGCTCCTAGTCAATCCCACCAATGCAACACACTATATGGCTGAGCTCCGAGCTCAGCCCACCCACAATGGCTATATCCCATGCTACAACAGCACAGTGATGTATTGGCAGTCCGGCTGCCTACACTGCTGTTAGCCATCACGGGGTTGGTGCAACAAGCAAGCAGCTGGTCTGACTTCCCCCCCACGAGCAGGACAAGAACACGGAATTTGAAGGAAAATGGACGGATTGGAATTTCAACTGTTCCCGCGCTGATTCGGGCAAGACACATCATGCTGCACTCCCGAATATCCAAACTCACTCACGCGTATGACCAATGGTGCAATGGCCCGGAAAGGGCACCTGTGTTGAAATACGTCATTTGGATCTCACCAAGCGTGACTTCGTCCACTGGGAATGTGCCGACACTTCTGCGAATCAGCTTGCAGGTAATTGCCCTGTGTAGCTCTGAAACACTCTCACCCCCTCTTCTCCCCCACCCCAGACACGTGCACACACAAGCTTGCACACGAATACATACCCGCGTTCATGCATATATGCATACCTATACACACACGCACACATGCACAATTGAATCAGTTATGAAAGAGTCATGAACCAAACATGCCCGAACGCATCCCGAGATCTACCCAGCACACATCCACCGCCGCCGTCATCATCACCCCTACCCCGTCCACCCTACCCCCTACCCCGTTCACCCTCCCCCCTCCCTCCCCCCCCCCCTGCACACCAGAAGATGACACACCGGTTGCTGAGAAAACACACCATTGCTGCATTTCTGATGTCACAACTCAAGTGCTACCCAGTATCCACCACAACTGTTGCACCTCCCTAATGGCCCGAAGTCTTTAAACTCCGCTACGGCCAGTGACGACACAATGCGTCGTCTCAAAGCCGTCGACTGCTCGCCGTAGTGTCGGCAGCCCGGCACTTTCTCTACCCCATGATGTTTAGAGCGGCGAGAATCTGTGTCGGGCCACAGTAGCTCTCGCTGCGTACGCTGTGCAAGACACGGCGTTAAGAAAAGGCGTGCCGGGTTATTCCCGGCGCACACGCGGCTGCATTCGCTGCTGCATGTTCACGTGGACACACACAGGCGCAAGATAGGCTTTGCAGCCGTGCGCCATCCGCAGACACTCCACACATTGCTGGCAAAGCACAGCACAGCACCTACGTAAAACACTACACATCTACTTCTCCGAGGAAGTAGTGAACCTGACATTCATTTCAATTACAGTTTTGGCCGCTTGTTTCGCGACTGGAGTGGCTAAGCGTTCCGCATTATTTATCTTTGAGCCATGGGCTTGCTGCTGTTGTATTTTTTAAAAGTTGTTCCCTCTTCAACCTTCATGCTCGCATGCTTTATCTATTTGCTTCCGTGTGTTTATGTATGTGTGTGTGTGTGTGTGTGTGTATGTGTGTGTGTATGTGTGTGTGTGTATGTGTGTGTGTGTGTGTGTGTGTGTGTGTGTGTGTGTGTGTGTGTGTGTGTGTGTGTGTGTGTGTGTTTCTGTACGACTAGCCCATCACACCACGTGGTTGGCCTACGAACTAATTTAGTCTCTTCTGCTGTCTTTTGTGGTTTTTTAAAAATATTTTTTTATGTCTTATTTTTATACGTTATAAAAAGCTCATTTAACTGACCTACTTCTACCAGCGTTTTCTATGTACTCATACAGCAGTTTACACAATCGGCATGTCTATCCTGCCCCAGTGGCATTGAATATGTGGGTCACCACTGTTGCATCGGTACACCCCCCTACAGGTACATTGCCTCCAAATTCTGTCCATTCTTCCAGGATGAGCCGATCATAGTTACACTCAAAGCCTCCTGCCATCTGACCACCCTCACTGCCCACTGCATTGCGCCCCTCCCCCGACAAACCTTGCCTGACACCCACCCCCCCCCCCCCTACTGCTCTTTTCTCGGCCTTTCAAGATTCTTTCCCCACTTGCTGCTGCCCTGGCTGTCACTTCGTTTCTCCGCACACCCTGCTACTGGTAGATAATAGCAATGAGAGCATTCCCTCGTTTCACCCACCCACCGTGTTGACCCGTGATAACCCTCAAGCCTGATTCCCAGTCCACTGTCCTGCACCTCGTCATCTCTCATCTGCCCCCGTCCCCTCAATTTTCTCCGTCCAGTACAACGTATTTCCCCGGCACTATTCTCCCTTGGCTAGTCCTTCCCTTCAACAGACGTTCTCTTGCTCGCGTAACGACTATACCAGTTTGATGCATGTTTGACCGTTACAGGTCTGCTAGTCATACATTCTATTGCTATCGCTACCACACATTTGAATCGCAATATCCTTCACTATAATTTTCAATTATGATCCCTAGCTAATGGTACATTCGTACATGTCATTCAGGCTCAGAATAAACATGGTTAGCATTTTACCGTTCACGCTAACTTCGACCGTTGGCCTGTACTGTTTTTTGTGTGTTTTCAAGACATGGTTAGCATTTCGGTTTTTGACGCAACGAGCGACTCGTGACGTAACCCGAGTCGAAATCTTACCGATCCGTTCTCCCACTGAACAGAGCTTTCGAAGCGATACCACACCGACGGTATTTCGGGTGTTGGGTGCGAGTACCGTTGGATTTAGCGTGAACGGTAACATGCTAACCATGACTCCATGTCTACTGTTTCCCGGCCGGCACTGCCTGCCGGATTGGGCCTGCGATCGGCGCATGTGAATGCTTTACGTCCTGGTATCGGCGGCTGACCCTTGTATTGTCTCGGGCGAGGGACGGCGATCGTGGCCCTTTCGAATACTGTACAGTACCCGTAGACACGTTAGGATTTCTCCCGGCTGTCTGCCGATCTGGCGATTGTCCTTTGAGCTCCCGCCAAACACTTTCGTGGTTGTGTGCGTGTCTGTGTGTCAATTCCCGACGATTATGGCCACACACGTCTTTCTTCTCTTTCTCATTCTCCTAGCTCATCTTTCATTCTCCTGGGTGGTTACCAACAGCCATGCGCCAGTGCATGCTGGAGTATGTGGTAGTGGTGGTGGTTTGTGTGTGTGTGTGTGTGTGTGTCTCCTTGTACTCGTGGGGGACGGTTTGCCTTTTTCGAGCTCCAGTTTTCTCTGGCCAAAACCTTTCAGTAAACTCTCTCCAGGCCAGAGGCGGTCCTCTCCAGGCCAGAGGCGGCCCTCTCCGGGCCGCCTCAAGGCCAGCAAAGCGCTTTCGACGAGGGGACCGACACAGCTAAAGGACGGGACGGCGTTTGATGCCGTCACCTTTGACTGCGCCCTTCATCGCCACTCGCAGAGGTTTGACAAGCCCCCGAGCGGATTCCATCACGCGCCATGAAATTTGTTGAAGAGAGGAGAGAGAGAAGGAGACACCATCTGTTGCGCTTTGGATTGCTGGAATGTCAGATCCCTGGTGGAGCGAGACGGAGCCATTGAGATGGCAAGCGTTTCTGGCCGAGTAGTTGAAAACAAAAAAATAAATCGTGTTGTGGCGGAACTACGGAGATTTGATATCGCCGCAGCAGGCCTGCAGGAGACTCACTGGTTTGGACAGGAAAGCTACGTCGTGGACGGTTTCACTATCCTCAGCTCATCCTCGTGCGGCAAGACGACCGCCATCTATGCACCGACGTGGCCGTCATCCGGAGTGCTGAATGCGGCAGCGACCACCAACTGCTATATATGGCTCTGCAGCTTCCATCGCGGGGCGCAGAGCAAGGATAGTGTCCGGCGCCGGTTTGAGGTTGCACAGCTAAAGGACCGTCGCAAGTCTTCCCCTGAAGATCCTACGCCTACCGATATCTACCAGGCAATGATCAAGGAGGAGATCGACCGCAACTGGCTCGAGAATGCCAACATTAGTGAGAAATGGTCCTCTATCAAGTCCACCCTTGACACTGCTGCATCCACAGCCCTTGGATTTTCAAAACGGCGTCAGCCGGACTGGTTCCAGGAAGCCCTGCTAAACATCCAACACCTACTGGACATGCGGAATGCGACCTACGAGGATTGGCTTCGCCGTGTCCAGCAGCGAGACACTCCGTTTCATCAGGAGTTTAAGGTAGCCCGCTCGAACGCACGCGCAGCAATCGATACGGCCAGAGTGGACTGGATCAAATCTAAAGCTCAGGCGGCCACCGACGCCCATTTCAATGGCGCTGTCGTGTGGAAATGTATCCATGACCTCCAGTCTGCTGGGCGCGGCCTTCAACCACTACGGACAGCAGGGATCGTTGACGAGAACGGAAATATGTGCACGTCACCGCGTGAGCAGGGACAGCGCTGGGGAAGGCACTTCTCTGGAGTGCTCAACGTCATGAGCACTTGGACACCGAACGCACTGAATGGTATCCCTCAACTACCGCTTGCCGAAGACCTCGCTGAACCTCCCACGCTGCGCGAAGTGTGCCGCGCCGTTGCTCGCTTGAAGAATGGCAAGGCTGCTGGAGCCTCGGGCGTCTTGCCGGAGATGGTGAAGGCAGGGGGTGAGTCGCTGAACAACAAGCTTGTGGAGCTATTCGGAGATGTGTGGCGTGCCGGCCAAGTGCCGCAGGAGTGGGTAGACGCTACCCTGGTGCCAATTCCGAAGAAAGGGGACCTGACCCGATGCGACAACTGGCGTGGCATCGCGCTGCTCGATGTTGTCGGCAAGGTCCTGGCGAGTCTCATTCAGACGAGACTCCAGGGCCTGGCCAGCAGCTTCCTCCCGGAATCACAATGCGGCTTTCGGCGAGGCAGATCCTGCACGGACATGGTGTTCAGCGTACGTCAGCTGCTCGAGAAGACCATCGAGCATACAGCCAAGGGTTTCTTCGTCTTCATTGACCTGAAGAAGGCCTACGACTCCGTGCCCTGTGAGTGCCTCTGGCAGGTGCTCTCCCGTGCTGGTGTCCCTCCCCCATGCTTGCAGTAATCCGGTCTTACCACCATGAGATGTCTGCAGTATTGCGCGTGAATGGCACAGACGTGGATCCGTTTAGCGTCACCAACGGCTTGCGGCAAGGCTGCACTATGGCTCCTGTCCTCTTCAACATCTTCATGTGGGCAGTAGTCACCAAGTGGCAACAGAGGATCAGAGGTATTCCTGGCGTTGGTTTCGAGTTCAGCTTCCCCTATGGTGAGGGTCAACTATATCGCAAGGCACGCCGGCCTGACACCGCTGCCTCCGCACTAGAGGCACTGTTCGCGAACGATTCCTCCCTGTTTGCAACATCGCGTGCTGGTGCTGAGATTACCTTGGACCTGTTCAACTCGACCGCTTCGGAGTTCGGCCTCACCGTGAGCGCGACCAAAACAAAGTTCTTGGTTGCGGGAGCTGGCGTCACGGCTGCGGACCAGGCGCCCATACAACTTGCCGGTGTGGACATTGAGTGTGTGCCGGAGTTCAAGTACCTGGGGTGTATCATCCACTGTGGCGGCCGATCTTCGCAGGATATCAGCGCTCAGGTGGCAAGTGCGTCCCGGGCTTGTGGTGCTCTGCAGCAATCTGTTTTCAGGAACAAGAACTTAGATCTTCTTATTAAACGCTGTGTGTTTAATGCTTGTGTCCTGTCTCTGCTCCTGTATGGGTCCGAGTGCTGGACGCCGCTGAAGCAGGACCTCCGTCGCATGTCTGTTTTCCACATGCGATGCGTGCGGTCAATATTGGGTATCACACGCCATCGTTGCTGGGATGACCACATATCCAACAGCCAG